AGCGCCGGTAGCCCTTTCCCCTTTTCTCTCTCGCCCTCTTTCAGTAGTCTTGACAACTGTGGTTTTGACCAGGGTGCAACGTTACTAAAAGACTCAGTTGGGAAACTCGCCGTCGAAACCTGGGCCGCTGGCGTCCACTGAGACCAAACTAAATCGAGCTAAATGCGACAACAGCGCCACTCTTTATCGTTTGTCTGTACTGTGGTCACCTTGAGCTTTTTGAAAGCCTGTTTTTGCGTAAAAACAAACGGAAAAGGCTCTTTTTGTATGAAATTTATTGGAGTTTAGGGCAAAAAGAGGGGCGCGTTATGTTTTTAAAGTCCTTAGTTTGCAGGGTTTTGCGGCACAATTAATATTGTTTTTATACAACCATGCCTCAGCGGTCCTTTCAGGTAGCGCGTCCTGACCTAGGTGCATTTTAACTTGGGTAGTCAGACGCGGCGCATCCGCCGGGGATACGGGGTGGCACCCCTGTACCCTCTCCCGCTGTATCTTTTCTGAAAGCCAAAATAGCAGTAACGTGCAGTTCCTCGAGTGGCCGCTGCGGGAGAAATGGTGGCGTAGTGTTCGTCATTAGCTCGGTGCTCGGAGACACATTGGGGCCATTTTTTCAAAGCTGTCTTTATGGGAGTTTCCCAACTGAGTGTTTTAGGCCCGCTTCAGACGGGGCAACTTTTCCAGCAATTCCGGGGTTGCTGGCGGGTTGTTCCCTAGCTTTCCCTAGATCGACACGAATTGCTGAGATCGGGTCCGACTCGAACGAGCGAGCAACTCGGAGCAATTCGAAGACGTTTGAAACGGCTGCAGCCAATCAGAGACGCGATATTTTCACATGACACACCTGTGGTGGTGATGATGACAGCTATAGACTTGGTTCTGGTTTGAAATGGATTGTTTTTGAAAATAAACCTTTTCAGAAAGATGAGTTAGTATTCTCAACACCATTCAAAGATATAAAAACACCTTTTTAGCGCGTAGCTGTGCGTCTAAATAGTGTAAGAAAAATCAAATTTCATGATGATGATAGCAAGTCGGAGCAATTCGGTTGCTGCGTGTGAACGCGGGCGGCCCGTGTTGCTGGAGTTGCTACATCAAGTTGCTGGGCGAAATTGCCCAGTCTGAAGCGGGCCTTAGTAACGTTGCCAGGTTGTAAGATTGACAGGTGGGGAAACGGCCCATGGAAGCCTAGCGCAGCGCCGTGACCGGATTGTGTACTCGTCTGCTTGCGGGTACCCCCGACTTGCGACAGATGGCGCTGCGGCGAGAGGGAAAAAATCGGAATCGGATTTGCGTGGAACTCTATGGGAGAATATACAAAATTAACCGAGAGCACGACAGTTTTTCATTAAAAATCCACAAAAAACCATCTCCGTCAGTTTAGCCGGTCGCCATCGGTCGCCCACCCGAAGTGAGAGTTCGCGGTGCTCCACATAGATGGCGCCACAGAAAAAGAGAAAACCTAGGGAGGCTGTAGTGAGGGTGGGCGCAACTCAAGACTTGGAGAGCGTTTGCAATTTAATGGCGGCGCCTGAGGGAGAGGATTCAAGAAAGGATATGCGCCAGTGTTGCCTGCACGAGAGCAGGCGCCCGCTCTGTTGCAACTCTGTTGCTCCATGCGCCTTTCCTCCTCTCGCCTCCCATTGCAAGCAACCAGCGCCTTGGCGCGCTTAGCGCAGCCTCTCTCGCTTCCTTCTCGTCGAGCGGTGAAAGCAAAGTTGCCAGACAAGCAGCAACGTCCAAGATGGCGGAATTTATTATTTTTCGCGTTGAAAAAATACTTAACCTATCGCAACAAAGCTGGTGGTTATGGAAAAGTAATCATTTATACCTTGTGTAAATTATTCAAGCACCTTAATGGGCTTTTATAACCCGAGTTAGGAAAGAAAACGACCCTTTGCCCCATAGACTCTCAGCAAAATTGAGCAATTAAATGGCGTCCATGTCCTGTGATCGCCGATCTAGCTGTTGCACCCACCCTCACTTGAGCCTCCCTAAGAAAACCGAGGGGGACACAATGCGGTCACTCATTTGGCTCTCGTTTCCCCACCTGTCTATCTTACACCCTGGTCTTGACTGTGTTGACCACACTGTTGTGTTGACTAGTGATGGGGCGAATCACCAAAGATTCGGATTCGGACAGATTCGGAGATTTCCGAACTTCCCGCGACGAATATTCGGCAGATTCGGAGATTCGTTCGATTCGTCACTGGTTGAAGACGGCAGCGTGAACCTTGACGTAAAGCTCGCGAACGCGGTCAGTTGTGTTCCTTTTTAGGTACTGTTATTGCATATAACCAGATTTTGTCTTGTTTATTTCAGTGTAATGGTATATACTGTACTGTCATTCTAAACCCTGGCATACGCCCAGAGCCAGCTGAGCTGATCGGTGTGGTTGACGTAGGGCTAACCAATGCACGGTCTCGGTTTCTGTGCGGTTTCGCGGTGATCGGTAAAATGTAGCGAAATGCTGCGTATTATACATAATGTGGCGCAATGCACAATAAATATATATTCAAACGATTCGTCTCCTACTATAGAGCTGCGTATGTACCTGTAAGGCGCGAGAACGAGATGAATGTTGCTCGTCACAACTTCGACCACATACCGGCACCGCTGGCGAAGAAAAACGTCGCTAATTCGCACTGTCGCTTCTCCGTTCTCGGCAGCAAGTATTGTGTACGTGAACTTTATTTGATGAAAAAGAAGCACAACGCAGGGATGTGCAACGCGGAAACAGACACTACTAAATCGGATATGATTGACCAGAAAGGTACAAATGCAGTGCAGTCAGGAGGCTAATTGTACGCCTCCAGGAGTTTCAGGTTGTTTCCCGCGTTCCGATAACAATATATCAGTAGACACACGTTGAAGATAATCAAATCGAACACACTCACTTGTGTGGTGTGTGCCCGTATAACCGTAATTATGGACATGAAATGTGTCGGTACCGAACAGCACGTACGGCATCGATCTCTTGCGGCAATGAAACCATGCAGTTGTATTTTCACATGCACGAAATATGCTTATTTTGGACGTAATCCGAAACCGAAACCAATTTTCCCACGATGTTTGGCTACCGTTTTCGACAATCATCCAATATAATATAAACAAAGTGGGACATTTTATTTATTACTATGATATATTACAATATTATTTTGTGCACTTCGTAGAATTTAGTGAATTTAATTTCATGAAAAGTTGAAACACTCATCAACGTAACCATTAGGGGTGTCGCGAACTTTTGTCGAACCAGATTTTTTGGTCGAACTTTCGGGGTTCGACTGGGTCGAACCGGTCCGACGAACCTTCGAAGTTTTCATCAGATTCGACCGGTTCGACTTTGTGGACAGTGTGGCCAGACCTTGATACAAGCATGTCTAGGTTTGGAGAATTTCTTTTTTTATGCAAAGGGTTATTTTATTATGTGAACTACTGCAATAAAAGAAACTAATACTATTCACTGAAGAAGTTAATAACTCAAATTTTAGTACTGTATTGACTGAAATAGCCGTTCAGCGCTGCACTTAATTCCACTCCGAAGCCAACTGGCCAGCCTGTCACGCATGCGCACACGAGTCGAACCTCAGTACAAGGTTCGACGAACTTCCCACTAAAAGTACGAAAAAGTCGAACCTGGTCGAACTCGAACCGCGGCCGGTTCGCGACACCCCTAGTAACCATGGCAACGCTTCGAATTTTTCCGAACTTTTCCGATTCGCTTGAGATTCGGCTACTCTGCCGAATCTTTCCGAATCTCGAGATTCGGCTCCGAATCTCGATTCGGATGAAGATTCGTCCCATCAGTAGTGTTGACTAGGGGTGTCGCGAATTTTTGCCGAACCGGATTTTTAGGTCGAACTACCGGTTCGACGAACTTTCGACCTTTCAGCCAGATTCGACCGGTTCGACTTTGTGAACAGTGTGGCCAGACTTCGATACAAGCATGCCTAGGTTTGGAGAATTTTTTTTATGCAAAAGGTTATTTCAATTTTATGAACAGTTGCAATTAAAAGCAACTAATTCTAATCACTGAATAAGTTGATAACTTAATTGTTTGTGCTGTATTAACTGAAATAACCAATCAGTGCTGCCCTTAATTTATTGTTGACCTGTTGATGAAGCGGAATTATCCGCAGCGTTTTATTGATAACACGCGCAAACAGATGGGGCAAAGAAGAAGTCAGGATAATGGACGACTTAGGACAGGGCAAGTAACAATACCCTATTTGAGAGGTGTTTCTGAGTCTATTCGCAGGGCCCTCGCCCCTTTGAATATCCGCACTGCTTTCAAACCCCATCGTAAACTACGTGACCTCATTTCTAAACCTAAAGATTACACCCCCCCCCCCCCCCCCCCCCCCAGAGTCCCAGCGCGGTGTTGTGTATAAAGTGAATTGTCTAGACTGTGACGCATCCTACATTGGGGAGACAGGCCGGAAGCGCTGCACTCGCTTAAACGAACACAAAAGGGACGTGGCGAAGGCCACGCATGCGACAAGAGCGAAGACGGAACTCGTAGACCATTGTTGGAATACGGGTCACTGTTTCGACTTTGAGAATGCGTCCACTCTGGCGCGCGAACAAAGGTGGGGTCCACGCAGGTTCGTGGAATCATGGTTCATCCGAAGTGACTCATCAGCTTGCAATTCCAACCGCGGCCCCCTCCCCGATGTGTACGCGGACTTGCTTAAATAGGACTGTTGAAGCTTTTTCCCTCATTCCTGCTTGTAGGTTTCACTGACGATGTTTCCTGCATGGGAGACGAAACGTTTGATTAAATTGTTAATCTTGTTGAGTAAAGTCGGAGCAGTTTTTTTTTATCATTATGATTCCCGGCTTTTGGAATATTTATGCCTTAATTTATTCCTTAGCCATCACCATCCAATCCGAAGCCAACTGGCCAGCCTGCCGCGCATGCGCGCACGAGTCGAACCTCAATGCAAGGTTCGACGAACTTTCCACGAAAAGTTCGAAAAAGTCGAACCTGGTCGAACTCGAACCTGGTCGAACTCGAACCTCGGCCGGTTCGCGACACCCCTAGTGTTGACTGTGGGCTTGACGGTTTTGCTCACACATCTGCTACGACTACGACTTTCAAAACGTCAAACCCACGGTGCTCCCAACTTTTCCTACTTCGGGTTCGATCAGCTCCGCTCTGTGGTGTGGTGCTTCGGTGTGATTCATCACCAGACTAGCCAGCCTCAAGCACTCTGACATTTTTCTGGTAAAAGGTAAAACGCGGCAAAGACAGAGTGAACGCCGCGTCAGCGGAGACTCGGAAGGTTGCCTGCGGCGAAGCGCCGACATGTGCACGGAGCGATGTACCGCCGACGCGACTATCGCCAAAAGATCTGCCCGAGCGGTGAACTCGACCACCTGAAAAGTCACCCCGATGCCAGCATTTACTTTTGCAGGCTGTGCCTCCTGATGTTCCACGGACAAGCCACCTACTTGCATCATGTTTCCGGCGGACACTGCAACCGCGGTAAGCACGAATACGCTGCGTGCGGCATGGCCGGCTGCGCATTCAGAGGCACCTGCTCTTCGCTGGAGTAGCATTGCATCCACACTCAAGGCGCACCTAGCGAAAACCTTCCCTCGGACGAGTTGACCTGCAGGGCCTGTTCATCCAAGTTGTATGTGCTCATCGACTTCTTGATTCACCTCGCGAACGACTGCCATGCCAGGACTCGGAGTGCGACGAAGGCAGACGCTGCCATCTCCCTGACTCCATCAATGATGGAACCGCAGGTCATTGTCATGGCTGTCACCCCTCCTTTGGAAGAAGGTTGCACCGGGCGTCGACATGATCCCCTGCCCCCGAGAACAGAGCCAACGCTTGTGTTCGGTGGATTGTGAATCATCCCACCAATCCCACGGTTGCGTTGTTTGTTGGACTTGCAGAAACGAGGCTTCACTCTGTTCAGAGCTTTGTGCTTGCAGCGAACTAAAGCAACAAACTAATGGACACAACACCGGGCCAACCTCTCTGTGTGATGGCAGTACACTCTGGAGCCACTGCAGCCGGCAGAGTGATGCGGAATCCAGATTCCGCAAGTGCGGTAGCCCTCAAACCCCAGGAGGACCAGTCAACATTGCCAAACAAAAATAAGTTGAAAAAGGTCTATGGGTTCAATGTATTATACCTCTGTGCCGACTGTAAAGAGCGCTTCAACGATGCTTCCGAAATTTCTTTTCACATTAAGTATGAGCATAAAAAAGGTGACAAACACCCGTCGCCAATTTCGCTGTGGGATGACTCTGCAAAGAAGTACAGACCACAGCACTTATGTGCTGTCAAGTCTGCAATTCATGAGTACAGCTGCCTACTTTGTACTACCTTCTTCACCACAGACTGCAAGACCTTCAGGTCGCATATGATGTCGGTACATGGCCAGTATTGCTGCATTCAGTGTGGGCGCAACTTTGGTTCCAAGGGTGGTCTGCACACACATGTGGCTGTGTCACATCAGAAGTACAAAGACAACACTGTGTTCTGCTCTACACTTGCAGGCGAAAGTGCAGATGACAATGACAATGCATCCTGTAAGGCAGTTGGAGGTTCCCCTGTAAAAGACTCGCCTACAAAGAACCAGAATGTGAAAAAAAAACCGACGAGAAACACCGAGAATGTTGACGCTTCCTATGCTGCACACGAAAGGACCGGGACGCACGGGCATGCTCATCCAAGAAAGGACGCAAGTAGGTATACTTGCAGTTCCTGCATGCAGCCGTTCACTAATTCACAGGACATGTATCACCATGCTTTCAAGGCCCATGGCATCTACAGCTGTGGGTATTGCTCTTGGACGACCATTGACGGTGTGGAGCGTTTGCGTCTACATCACTGTGAGGAACACGAAGGTCTTCACTTCGTGAGCCCAGTTAAGTGCCGCTCTCCTAGCCAACATGCTTTAGAGTCCCCCGTGGTAGTTGCTGGAACGGTTCCAGTAGAAGCCACTTCCAGAAGTGAGAGCAGGACCGTTGCCACACCTCAAGTTGAAAAAATGTTGATCGCTCATCGAAGCTTTGTTTTGAATACGGCTTCAAATGAAGTTTACCCTGCAAAAACGCAGATCTTCAAATGCCATATTTGCGAGGCCGAGATTGGGGATGTGTTGAGCCACCTTTACCAGGAACATGGAGTGCTCACAAATCCAGATTCCAGTTATTGCGGGTCAGTAGCGCACGGTCTACGGCTACACCATCATGTGGTGCGCAGCAAGACCTCCAGTGGTGGCCAGATAATGGGGAAATCGGGACCAGGTTCTCCAATGTCAATGGAGGAACTGCCCCTCAAGATGCCGGTCATGCTGGAGGAAAAAGTGGTCACAAGGACACCAAGTTTTTGCAGCAGCAGTTACAGTGCAGACCTGCTGCAAACTGAGCTACCGATGTCCAATGATTCTGACACAAGAAGCTCAGGCAATCAAAGCGTTATTGTAGCTGATGCAAATTCTGGTGACCCATGCTCTGTCATGAGTGACGAAACAAACTGCTCTTTTCTTGAACAGTCCCTCACGTCCAAGTCTGAATTGATAACCTCAGATGTCAGCTGCAATGATAACCAAGAGCCCTCTGGCCATTCGAGTTCCATTTCAGACACGAACTCGAGCCACAGTGAGAGTGGCAGTGATGGAGAAGCAGTTGAAATGGAGGAAGGCGAGATAAAAGAACCGTGCAATTCCTTCTCTTGTAATAAATGCAGCAAGCACTTTACCACACGGGTAGCTCTGGTCTGCCACATGGTGAAGATCCATAAGCAATGTGGCTTCTGCGTCTACTGCAACTACAGCTCGACAACAACGGTATGGATGGAGCTCCACCAAAGATGCAAGCATCGCGGATATTCATTGAGGTATTTGGCTCTTCATGGGTGCAATCTTGAATTAGTGGTAGGTGCTTCAACAAAGAGCCACAAGAAGCCTGTTGTCAAGGGGACTTACTCATCTTTTGACTTGTCTAAGCAGGAATTGCTTCTAAGTAAATCTCTTCTGAAAAAAATGGACAGGAGTGTATCTGCCAAGGGGCACCGGACTGCCCTTCACAATGATTCCACAGGCCATAATCTTTCCAGGAAGCATTATTCCGGTTCAAAAAAGCATAAGTTCACCAAATTGTGCAGCAGCAACCGGATTAAGAAACAAGGGAAGAGCAGAAGAGAGGGAGAAAGGAGAGTGGTCTTCACATTGAGTTCGTCGGATGAGATGGATGCCCTCCCCACTTCAGTAGAGAAGAATGAAGAAGCCCCGGTGGCCATCAGGACGTACAGCGGCTACCGCGTCCCCAAGTCGGCAGCAGCTCTTGCTCACCTTGCTCACTTAGGGCACCGTTTTCATTGTTGCATGTTTTCATGCTCCTTCAGCACCGATTCTCAGTCGGAGTTCAGTGACCACCTGGACGGTCACACCGAGTCCGGGCATCAGCTCATGTGCATCTACTGTGGCGAAACGGTGCAGTCATCGAGCGATCTGCTGAGTCATCTTAACGCTAGGCACTGGACCCTCCAGCATCAGTGCGCTATATGCCTCTATCGGGGATCCTGCAAACTCTACGTGCAGTGCCACTTCGAGCATGCGCATCCAAAGGCACTCTTCGCAAGCCTCGTAGTGCTTCCCCATCATCAAGATGACCGATGTCCAAGGTCTTCCCCATTGCTCACAGAAGTAACCCTTCGTCCATACCGCTGTGGCTTTCCCAGCTGTGATTTCTTCATCCAAGACACGGCAGCATTCACTGAACACCTGAGACAGTCCCACCGCGGAGCAACCTGCTTTGCTTGTTCCGAGTGTAATCAGACGTGGGGCTCTATCGCACAGCTCATGGAGCATTTGATGGAGCATGGATTCGCTGCCGTCCAGTGTGGCTACTGTCCGGCCACGGCGACCACCATGAGTGGCATCCTGCTGCACCTGTGCTATTGCCACGCCGATGTGGGCCCTAAGTTCCTCATCAGAAACAATGACCTCGAAGAAAAATTCCACAGTGGCAGAGGTGCATGGACCATCTGCCGAAACGCAATGCTGGAGAATTTTAGGTTCGTGGAGTTCCAGCAGCGCTGCTATTGCTGTTTGCGTATGCTGACGGGCTTCAGAGAGCTAAAAACCCACATGGCACTTGAGCACCAGCTCTCTCCGGTGCCTGAAGAGCTCGCCGACCGCTTGTTCACATTGTACGACTACACGGTGGCCGTCCAGAAAGGACGCTGTCCATTCTGTTCCTTCGTGGCAGAAGATTCAGTGGCCCTGCAGGAGCACGTTCTTTACCAGGAACTGCAGTGCATCGACGTTCGCCACCAGTCGGAGGACATCTGGCGCAGAGACAAAGACGACAGTCGGTTGCTAGCTTGGGCCGAAGCCAACCTTTGCTTCCAGCGGTGCCGCTATGTCTGCCCCGAGTGCCTGGAAACGTTTGACACCACATCCAACTTGGGCCTCCACGTGCGTCGCCATTACTTCTATTACCCGGTTACCTGCAAACTCTGCGGCACAACTTTACGGGGCCTGGTTTCTCGAGACAGACATCTTTTGCAGGAGCATGGTCTGAAGTCCGACGGCAAAAGCGAACATTGTGGTTTGATGCCTGAAGACGTCTCAGCCAAGGTTCAGGAGGTCATCAGCAGGCAGGAGGCAGGCCTGAAGGAGCACTGCTGCGAGCAGTGCGGCTTCAAGTCAACGAGCAGCAGCTACATCGAGGAGCATCGTCTCCGGTGCAAGATCATCGTCGAGGATGATTCGGAATTGCCATTACCCTTCAAGTGCTATGTCTGCAGGGCAGCCTTTGGCCTTCTGTACCCATTGCTTGAGCACGGGTTCTGGCAGCACGGCTTTTCCTACTTTTGTGCCGACTGTTACTTTGGGGCAAATGACAAAGGCACTCTTCGGAAGGGTGGACATCCTTGCAGAGGTCGTGACGCATTCCTCGTGGAAAACAAGCAGCGAGGCTCAAGGCGAACTGCTAGGTCTGCACTGTACATTAGCCAACTTACGGTTGTTGAGGACTGGGAAGTCTACTACAAGAGCAGAGACTTCGAGTATGAGGGCATGGATCGTCTGTTTGTGCAGTTATGTGAACAGAAAGTCATGGTGGTGGACCTTCTGGGGGTAGTAAACTTTGAGGGATATGTGAGGCTTTGTGACATCGAGGTGTAATCTACTTGCCGGCATCTCTAAGCTAAATTGGCGTCCCTCGTAAAAAAAAAAGAAAAATTGGGTTGTGGGTATGTTTATACAGTCTAGACCTTAGTCTGCCTCAACGGGCAACTTGTCTCCCAGCTGTAAATGAGCAATTTAGCCAGTGCGGTACAACCGCTAGCCTGGGGTCTTTAACGTGCATCATGCAGTGGGGATACATGGCCTGCTTGTTGGTACGATGCTCATCTAGATCGAAACGGGCAGGGGTGTGGATTGAGTTGGTGTCCCTCACTTTTTTGGCACTCCGCTTTTTTTCCTTCAGCAGGTTCTATTGTCAAGTGCTCTCTTCCGAGTTCGCTGTGTGACCCTAGCTGAGGGGGCCAGTGACTGCACTTTGCCATTTTAGCCTGGTTGCCATTTGGCAGATCTTCGAAAAGCTGTCTTTTTTGCACTTGACTGACTTTCCGCGTTTCTTGTCTGCCTCTTTTTTTTTTTTTTTAAGACGGGTCTGAAATGTGTTTTGTTTGCATGGCTTTGGGCTACTGCAGTTGTGCCAAAGTGAACAAACTGTTTAGGCCCAACTGAGGAATGCCACTCAACGCCTTGGTGCATGCAGGTTCACCATTCACATCAGCATTTGCGGTTCTCCCTGAATAGGCTTACTGAATTCAAAAGATGTGTGCGCTGGTCTTAGTTCATTGTGATTCCATACACAATTTCAGCAGCCTTGATTCCTTGAAAGGATGCGGAACCGAAATCTGGATTCCCCAAAACACGCGGCAGAAGCGTGCAACAGGATGCTACAAACACCAAAACATCAATCATACAGTGATATCTCGAACGGATGACCGTATTTTTAAAAAAAAGATGCGCATTTGGCAGGAATCTTGACGTCATGTTTCTCCAAGAAGGAGAAGGAACGGCCTCGCGTCTTCTTCGCCTCGCGACCTTGAGGGAGCGAAGCGAAGAGAGGAGGAAACTAGGTACCTTGACGGTCGCGCGCCTCGTCCACCTGGTTCAATCTTGACTTCTTTTTCCAAAGATACGGCTGTCCATTTGAGATGCCGCCTTACTAGTAGTGTTGTAGGGATTGTAGTGTCCCGCCTACATCTCCAGCATTGTTTTTTTTAAATCCAAATTTCGGTTCACCATCCCTTTGAGCTGTGCCTTAGGTTGGGGCCTTATAAATATTTGTAGTGAAGCAGGGGAACATTCATGTAATATCAGAAAGGTCATATAATTTAGCGAGCCTTCTCTTTGTACATATCCCAAATAAAAGCATTCAAAGGCTTCAAACTTGCAATAAAATGCTTAGATGGGCCAGTTGGTACATCGTGGAAAAATAAGCGCCAAAAAAACACGGACAAAGAGTAGATTGACAACGACACAGCGCCCTGTGTCGTCAATCTACTCTTTGTCCGTGTTTTTTTGGCGCTTATTTTCCCACTTCAAACTTGCTTTCTAATGGCCCTGTTTTATTCAGGATGCAGTCATTAACCCAACACATTCATCAGCAGTCAATCAACTTGTTAGTCATTTGTTCTGTTGTCTCGCAATCATGTCTGAACGCGAGAACGGCAGCGTAGCATGGATATCAACCATGTTGCCTTTGTGACTTCTTTCAGCAACCGGAACGGGTGACAAATTGTGTCGGACAATGCATGTAGCCTGGTTCGGTGGCTGAGCAAATTTTGTGCCGCTAGCACAGCTTTCATGTTAGCGAGCTCGCTCAGTAACATGCTTTGACTGGCATGTTACTGGGGAGTGCTATTTAATGATAATTGCAGCCTGATGTGCAACCAAGACAATTTGATGTCTGCTTTTATTGCTTAATTATGGAAAGCAATTGCAAGGGTATGACTACTGCGTCAAGCCACCAAGTCGCTCATCCTGCTGCATCTCGCCAAAATAGTTTGTGCCGCTTGTGTGCCGAAGGTCAATCATATGCTGCAACCTGCGCCTTGAAGCACTACCAGGTTGCTACAGAGTACTTGTGCAAATTTAGGAAAGTTATTATCAGTTCGAATAATGTGCTATTATGTTTTGCCTTTCTGTCGAACAGTGACAGTACCATGAAGTTTTGCCGTATTTCTCATTGTTAGAAGCTTGTTTGAGTGGGTTAGTTTGTTTCGGTTGGCGCTTCTTGTCAGACACTTTTGCACCGCAGAGCACAGTGTGCTCACTGTAGTTCTGAAAGTCTCGCTTTGCTGTGTGCTTTTGGGAGACAGCACTCCTTCAGTACCTAGAAAATATATAACTGAATGTCGATGTGACAAACTGTTGTGTTTATTTTAATTCTTGTTTCCAATTCAAGTTCTAAGCAAGGCTATTGTGTAAAGCAAAAGGATGTATGAATCCCTTGGACTATATATAGCTGAATGTTATACTGTGTTGAAGTTCCTCCCACAAAACCCTCCACTCTTCTCACTTTAGCAGAATGATGGAGAAGTGAGTCCACTCGCCTCCTTTCCAGCATTTGCCCTGCTAAAGTGGAGAGGGGGGCTTTCTAGGAAGGGCTTGTCCAGCTTTTCTTAGCCTGCAACGGAGTGTAAATTTAATTTTATGCCAAATCCTTCATTTAGTTTTAATTGTTTGAAAGCCAATAATATACTTTAAATTAATATTAACTGGAAATTGCAAGGTCAGCAAAGCTTTTATTAAAAATGCATATATATTGCCCACACTGGATATTGTAGTACCATCATCTGTCTACGGTACTTGCCCTGTGGGGATGTCGCAAACTTTTCTCAAACCCGTGGGTCGATGTCGAGCCTCAAGGTACGACTGGTTCGGCAAACCTTTAAACTTTATGCGGGGTTCGACGAAGGATGGATGGATGATAACAGCTCTATCTTTGTAACATGTAGCTTGTGCCACCTAGCCGAAGGACAATAACAAAAACCTGATTTCCCCTTTCAACCCAATGCGTTTCTTTAACTACTATATCACCTGGTCATGAAGATGATTGCCAGGCAGAACTTTAGAGGATTGGGCAAAAAACTAAAAACATCACCCCGCCTCCTCCCCCTGGCGAGGGAGCTGCCAGTTTCCCTTTGGTCAAACCTTGTGGGTGTCGCCTAACCCCCAACCCACTGGGGGACAATGTTGACACTGGGCCAAAATTTTTCTCTGCGTCGCCTGTCCCCCAGCTGTGCTAGTTAGTTATACTTAGTTCGACTTTCCCTAGACAATTTTCACAAGTACTCCAGTCTCCCCTCGTTGCCTCTACTCTTTTATAATCCACCTTTCCATTGTTTCCAGAAAAAACCAAGGGCCACCAATACGTCTCTCGCCCCTTCGGGAAGGGCAGGACTAAGCTCCTTACATTTTAGAATCGCGCGTTGAACATACTGTGCACATTCTATCTGTGTCTTCATATTTGGCCCTATACGTTTTTGTTCTTAAGACTCTCGTCCTTGCCTCGAACAGCAGAGCACTCCCTCTTGAATTATTGAATAAACCTTCCCTCTTTATTTCTTGCATTTTGTGACTTATAAATCGTTGAAGCTGACTTCCCCTAGATTCTCTCCTCCCACATCCATCTCTGCCTTCTTAATTGCCTTTTCCATTGAACGCATTTGCTCGACCCGATTTACTGTCTGCAAGAATTTCATCCTTAGCTTTCGTGTCCGTTTCGTTCATCTAGTGTTCAGACCCCTTATATACAGGAATTTATAGATTTTATGCACCCACTGCGTGTCCCCCATGTTTGTTAATCTTTGGTCAAAATTTATTTTACTCTGCTCTCAAACGAAGACCCTGCAGTCCCTCGTTTCAAGGGTTCCCATGTGCCCCTGGAGTTAATCCTGCCAATGCTGCTTTTTCCTATCTCCAATTTTGCCTGAACTTCATAACTCGTGCACCAGACTGCACTACCAAAGGTCAATCCTGGTACCATTACTCCTTTCCATACTCCCCGCACCACTTTGTATCTATTAAAGTTCCATAATGGCCGAATTCCTTTTACCCTTACCAATTGTATGTCGAACAGAACTTTGAGCATTCCAGGTTACCCAAGGTCGAAAGGCATCGCTCAATCGGCTGTCAAAATTGTCAACATGCTTTTGAAAAGGGCTTACGAAAGCAACGGTGAACCACTAATGGCGTTCCTCGACTATTGCAACATGCCATTGCAGCACATGAATGCAAGCCCAGCGCAGCTTCTCGTGGGAAGACGCACTCGAACATTGGTGCCCACAACAGCCAAGCAATTACAGCCAAGGATTGTTAATGCCAGATATCAGTTGGCACAGAAGCAACGAAGGATGGTGTTTTACCACGAAAGATGTCCCGAGGACCTTCATCATCTCAAGAAGGGGCAGAATGTGACGGTTCGCCCAACCAAGGATGGTTTGTGGCTCAAGCACGAAACAGTGTGACGACAGATCATACAAAATCCAAATGGGTGATGGTGCACTAGGACGCAACAGGGTGCATATACGAAGCACGCCCAGCCCCCGCCAAGCTGAAGCTGAGCCCCCGGTCACATGCGAAAAAACATTTCAGCAACCGAGATGAACTCTTCGACTGTCATGTTTAGGGGTGTTCCGTGCTTCCCCATATAGTAGTTGGTTTCCTGAACAATGTGTCCCAGCATGCTCCTCGAAACAAATAGGTCAAATAGTTGCTTCGCTGTCAGGGATTCAGCAGGAGGCAGGGTAAAGTCATTTTCAAATCTGTGCCGGCTTGGTCAAACACATTTTTTTCCATGTGAAGCATTTGTTTGCAAAGGCTCTTTTCAGGTCGCCCAGGTCGTCCTCAACATTAGCGTCAGTGTTCTCGACATCTTCATCGCTGCTATCTTCAGTGATTGGGTCACAATCTTTGCTGCTGCTTTCACCTGAGAGGTCATTTTCGTTGCTATCGCTGTTGTCCAGCAAGTTATCCTTGCCAAGGAACTGCTATGGTCTTGTCTTTGGCACACCATAGAAGGCTGAAGGTGCAATGACAGTCTGTAGATGAGATGAGATAACAAATTACCAAGGGTGCAACAGCATCCTAAAATGACAGCTGAAATGTACTACCTAACCAAAACAAAATGGTAGCAAAAATTAAAAAGACAAAGGCAAAGAGCGAATGACGTTTTGGCGAACAGCGACATTTGAGCAAATGACCCGGCGCATGCTACACCCCCCCCCCTACCCCCCACGCTGCGCTTGCACCGCTTCGCGGCGACAGTCTGCGGCGGTTCATTACAAAAATGTGAACGTACTTGGACCACCCGCAAACGCTGCTTAGCAAAGAGTCGCGGAGCCCGACTCTTCGCTAATGTGTCATTCGGTGAAACGTGGGCATTCGCTAAAACTTTATTCGATCAAGTGAGTGCCTCCCGCAACAACCGTGTGACGTGACACTCGCTGCCCACTGCTGTGCATTTGGAACATGTCAGGAATGAAAAATATTCAGCTTCATATAATGTTTGGAATGCGAGATTTTGCATGCGATTCACGCGAAAAACATTGCTAGAGGCTCCTTCGGTAATATAGAGCTCCTATTTTCACTTCTAGATGCTTTGTGGAAGTGCTCTGTGAAAGTGTAAACATACCTGGTATTGAGAACTTCCACACGGCGTGGGAGACGCCATTTTCAAACGATTCTTGTGGGCACAGCCAACGTTACTAGAACACTCGGTTGGGAAACTCACCGTTGAAACCTGGGCCGCACGCGTCCACCGAGACCGAGCTAAATACTACAAACGCGCCACTCTTTATCTTTTGTCTTTACTGTGGTCACCTTGAGCTTTTAGAAAGCATGTTTATGCATAAAAAACAATGGATAAAACTTTTTGTAGTAACTTTTATTGGAGTTTAGTACAAAATGGAGGGCGTGTGACGTTTTTTAAAATCTTTAGTTTGCAAGGTTTTGCGGCAGTCAGTCAGAGTTTTGAGAGTAAGGAAATCACAATTAATATTGTTTTTATACAACCATGTCTCAGCGGTGACTTCAGGTAGCGCGTCCAGACTTGGCCGCATCCTTCAGCTTCGGTAGTATCGCAGCGCGTTCGCTTGGGACACGGGGGTAGCATCCAAACCCCTTCCACCGTATTTGTTTTGGCGCCAAAATGGCCGATTAAAGCCAAAATAAAAGTCGCATGCAGTTCCTCGAGTGGCCGCTGTGGGAGTAATGGCGGCGTTGGGATCGCCATTAGCTCGGTTCTCGAGTACGGATCGGTGCCACTTTTTCATGGCAGGCTCTATGGCAGTTTCCCAACTGAGTGGTTCTAGTAATGTTGGGCACAGTGCTGCCCCTAGTGGTGAAATTCTTAACTTCTTGGATCGAGAAATGCGCGTTGAGAAGACTATTGACAACTTTTTGTCCGAAGATGTGCCCGATGTTTGTTTCTTCAGCTGTCGAAGCCTGTATTGCAGATATGCAACATGGGGCATTAATGGGTTAAGTAGGAGAAAGAGATGTGGGAAGGAAGACTGCAGACCTTTGCAAATGTCGCCTTCTGTGCGCTGCCATTTTTGTCTGCTGGGCTGTGGAATGCCCTCCGAGCATGCGCTGTTGCTCTGCTTTGCGGTATATCAGACCTTGCGCATGCGCCCGTTACTCGGCGTTTTTCACTCAGGTGATAAGCGATGCAATAAGGGAAATAAGTTTGCTTGATAATTCCCGGGGGAGCTCTTTACTGTTTTTGTTTGATAATTCTCAGGGGAGCTCTTTACTGTTTGTTCAAGCCCAGAACTGGGTTACTAAGAACGAAGACATATAGGGCAAAATTCGAAGATATAGATACAGTTTGTTGCGTATGTGGAATGAAGAGCGACGTAAAGAGAGCCCTGGGTTTCGGTGGAAAAGATGGAAGGGTGGATTATAAAAGGGTTGAGGTAACGAAAATGAGGTTAGAGCATTGGTGATAGGAGACTAGGAGAAACTGAAATTGGTAAAAGCATCGAGCACAACTGGAGACGGGGAGGACAGGAAAATTGGGACTCCCTTCCGCGTGGCTCCGGCCCAAAGTCTCAACCCTGTCTCTCAGTGGGTCTGGGTTTGGAAAGAACCCCAAGAAGGTTGCCCAGAGGAAAATTGGCGACTCCCTCGCCGGGGGGAGAAGGCGGGGATGTGTTTTCCTTTTTTACACCTGAGCTATTCAGGGCTAGTTTCTCCAGAATCGTATCACCCGCAAAGAAATGATGACATCGAACTCTGGACACCTACCGCCATCTATGAGCAACGGCGGCAAGCCACGTATCTGGTTGCCGCCGTCGCTCATAGATGGCGGCAGCCTTTCCACTCTGGCTTGCCGATTTGCGGCCGGCCATTATTTTCCATTGTACAGCTCCGCTGGTCTTCCTTCTTCACCAGAGTGGAAAGGCTGAAATTTTTTTTATATTTTATATTTGCCTGATCCCCGAAAGGTCAGACCGGCGGTCTGGCTCTGTACTGGTTCTGTACTAGTTGCAGGGATGTAAAAAAAAAAAGAGGAAAACATTGGTTTAGGCTAGGTGGCGCAAGCTACCGCCAAGTACAAAGAGTATAACCATTAACATTTATTTGTCTATCCATTCTTACTACCAGAGCGTTACAAACAAATATATGCACAAGGGATATGGATATCAATATTATATCTTAAATATTTTTACATCTTTAAAAAGTGTCGTCAGAGATGTCAAAATAATACTTAGTACGTTGAAATAGTCATTGTCGTGTCACGTGTGCCTTCTAACGGTTCGCGGACAGTTTGGACGGTTTCGCACGCACGACACGCACGACTGCTATGATTGCACCAAAGTGACCAAAGCACCAAACACACATTCCCCTCAACTTTTCCTACTACGAGCCCAGTGCGAGCCCGATCACCTCCATACTGCGGCAAAGCGCTGACATGTGCGCGCAGCGATGTACCGCCGACGCGACTATCGCCAGGAGATCTGCCCGTGCTTTGGTTGCAGTCTCAGAGTTTCGAGCGGCGAACTCGACGACCACCTGAAGAGCCACCCCGATGCCAGCAGTTACTTCTGCAGGCTGTGCTTCTTGGTGTTCCAGAGTCAAGCCACCTACTTGCATCACGTGTCCGGCGGACAGTGCAACCGCGGCAAACACGGATACGCTGCGTGCGGTGTGGCCGGTTGCGCGTTCAGAGGCACCTTCTCTTCGCTGGAGTCGCATTACATCCACACTCACGGGGCACCCAGCGATAACCTTCCCTCGGTCGAGTTGACCTGCAGGGCCTGTTCATCCAAGTTCTATGTGCTCATCGACTTCTTGATTCACCTCGCGAACGACTGCCATGCCAGGACTCGGAGGGCGACAAAGGCAGACGCTGCCAACTCTCTAACTCGGTCAATGATGGAACCGCAGGGCAGCGGGCGTCGACAAGATCCCTCTGCTCCAGAGAACGAAGCCAACGGTTGTGTTCAGCGGATTGTGAATGAACTCACCGATTCCACGGTTGGGTTGTCCGTTGGACTCGAAGAAATAAGGCTTCACTCTGTTCAGAGCTTGGAGCTTGCAGGGAGTACCAGCAACAAACTAATGGACGCAACGCCGAGCCAACCTGTCTGTGCGACAGCTGTACAGTCTGGAGCCAGTGCAGCTAACAGAGTGAGGCCGGATCCAGATACCGCAAGTGCTGTACCCCCCAAACCTCAGGATGACCGGTCAACATTGCCAAAGAGGAAGTCGAAAAAGGTCTATGGGTTCAATGTATTGTACCTCTGTGCTAACTGTAGAAAGCGCTTTGGCGATGCTTCCGAAATTTCTTTTCACATTAGGAATGAGCATAAAGAAGGTGACAAGCACCCATCACCAATTTGGCAGTGGGATGACTCTGCCAAGAAGTACAGACCACAGCGCTTGTGTGCTGTCAATTCTGCAATTCATGAGTACAGCTGCCTGCTTTGTACGACCTTCCTTGCCTCAGACCCCAAGACTTTCAGTTCGCACATGATGTCGGTACATAGCCAGTACTGCTGCATTGAGTGTGGGCGCATCTTTCATTCCAAGAGTGGTCTGGTCACGCATGTGACTGTGTCACATCGGAATCACAAAAACAACACTGTGTTTTGCTCTACACTTGCAGGTGAAAGTGCAGAAGACAACGACCATGCTGCCTGTAGGGCAGTTGGAAATTCTGCTGCAAAAGACTCGCTTAACGAAAGCCAGAAAATGAAAAGCAGCATGGGAAGCCTCAACACCGAGGTTGTTGAGGCTTCCCATGCTGCACACGAAGGGACCAGGACGCACAGGCATGCTCATCCAAGAAATGACGCAAGCAGGTATACTTGCAGTTCCTGCAAGCAACCATTCACTAATTCACGGGACATGCATCTCCATGCTTTCAAGGCCCATGGCATCTACAGCTGTGGCTATTGCTACTGGACGACCATAGATGGCCTGGAGCGTCTGCGTCTGCATCACTTTGAGGAGCACAAAGGTCTTCACTTCGTGAGACCAGTTAACTGCCGCTCTCCCAGCCAACATACTTTAGAGTCCCCTGTGGTAGTTGCTGGAACGGTTCCAGTAGAAGCCACATCTAGAAGTGAGAGCAGGACTGTTGCCACGCCTGAAGTTGAAAAAACATTGATTGAAAATCAAAACTTTATTCTGAATGCGGCTTCAAATGAACTCCACCCTGCAAAAGCGCAGATTTTCAAATGCCATATTTGCGAGGCAGTGGTTGGGGATTCGTCGGGCCACCTTTGCCAGGAACACAGTGTGCATGCAAGTCCAGATTCCAGTTACTGCGGGTCAGTACAGCCAAGTTTACGGCTGCATCAGGGTGTGGTGCGCAGCAAGACCTCCAGTGGTGGCCAGATAATGGAGAAATCAGAACCAGGTTTTTCAAAGTCAGTGGAGGAGCTGCTCCCCAAGATGCCGGTCATGATGGAGGAACCGATGACCACGAGGACACCAACTTTTTGCAGCAGCAGTTCCATTGCGGACCTGCAGCAAACTGAGCTAGCGATTTCCAATGATTCTGACACAAGAGGCTTAGACAATCAAAGCGTTATTGCAGCAGATGAAAATTCTGGTGACTCATGCTCTGTCGTGGGTGATGAAATAAACTGTAGTCATGAGCAGTCACTCATGGTCAAGTCTGAATTGATGACCTCGGTTGTCAGCCACAATGATAAGAACCAGGAGCCCTCTAATGCTTCAAGATCCATTTCGGACATGGGTTCGAGCAACAGTTCTGGAGTAGCAGTTGGGCTCAAGGGAGGTGAAATAAAGAAAGTGTGCAATTCCTTCCTTTGTAATAAATGCAACCAGCACTTTACCACACGGGTAAATCTGGTGTGCCACATGGTGAGGGTTCATGAGCAGCGTAGCTTCTGCGTCTACTGCAACTACAGTGCGGCGACGACAGTTCTGATGGAGCTCCACCAAAGATGCAGGCATCGCAGACATTCACTGAGGTATTTGTCTCTCCAGGGGGGCAATCTTGGATTTGTGGTGTGTGCTTCAACGAAGAGCCACAAGAAGCAGGTTGCCAAGGGGACTTCCTCATCTTTCGACTTGTCTGAGCAGGATTTGCATCTGAGTAAATCTCTTCTGAAAATAACGGACAGGTGTTTATCTACCAAGGGGCGTCGGACAGCCCTTCACAATGATCCTACGGGCCACAGTTTTTCCAGAAAGAAATATTTCAATTCAAAGAAGCATAAGTTCACCAAATTGTGCAGCAGCAAGCGCATTATCAAACAAGGAAAAACCAGAAGAGTCTTCACATTGAGTTCGTCAGATGAGATGGATACCGTCGTCAAGAGTTTGTCGGATGAGACTAATGCCCTCCCCACTTCAGTAGAGAAGAATGAAGAGGCCCCGGTGGCCATCAGGACGTACAGCGGCTACCGCGTCCCCAAGTCGGCAGCAGCTCTTGCTCAACTTGCTCATGTAGGGCACCGCTTTCATTGTTGCATGTTTTCATGTTCCTTCAGCACCGATTCTCAATCGGAGTTCAGTGACCACCTGGACGGTCACACCGAGTCCGGGCATCAGCTCATGTGCATTTACTGTGGCGAAACGGTGCAGTCATCCAGCGATCTGCTGAGTCATCTTAACGCTAGGCACTGGACCCTCCAGCATCAGTGCGCTATATGCCTCTATCGGGGATCCTGCAAGCTCTACGTGCAGTGCCACTTCGAGCATGCGCATCAACAGGCACTCTTTACAAGTCTCATAGTGCTTCCCCATCCCCAAGATGACCGATTTCCAAGGTCTTCCCCATTGCTCACAGAAGTAACCCTTCGTCCATACCGTTGTAGCTTTCCCAGCTGTGATTTCTTTATCGGAGGCACGGCAGCATTCACTGAACACCTGAGACAGTACCACCGCGGAGCAACCTGCTTCGCTTGTTCCGAGTGTAATCAGACGTGGGGCTCTATTGCGCAGCTCATGGAGCATTTGACGGAGCATGGATTCGCTGCCGTCCAGTGTGGCTACTGTCCGGCCACGGCGACCACCATGAGTGGCATCCTGCTGCACCTGTGCTACTGCCACGCAGAGGTGGACCCTAAGTTCCTCATCAGAGACAATGACCTCGAAGAAAACTTCCACAGTGGGACAAGCAAGTGGACCATCTCCCGGGATGCAATGCTGGAAAATTCTAGATGCGTGAAGTTCCAGCAGCGCTGCTATTGCTGTTCACACATGCTGACGGGCTTCAGAGCGCTGAAAGCCCACATCACAATTGAGCACCGGCTCTCTCCGGTGCCTGAAGAGCTCGCCGACCGCTTGTTCACGTCGTACGATTACACAGTGGCCGTCCAGAAAGGACGCTGCCCATTCTGTTCCTTTGTGGCAGAAGATTCAGTGGCCCTGCAGGAGCATGTTCTGTACCAGGAGCTGCAGTGCATCGATGTTCGTCACCAGTCGAAGGACATCTGGCGCGGAGACGAAGACGACAGTCGGTTGCTAGCCTGGGCCGAAGCCAACCTGCGCTTCCGGCGGCGTCACTACGTCTGCCCCGAGTGCCCAGAAACATTTGACACCACGTCCAACTTGGGCCTCCACGTGCATCGCCATTACGTCTATTACCCGGTTGCCTGCAAACTTTGTGGCACGACACTAAGGGGCCTGGTTTCCCGGGACAGACATATGTCGCAGGAGCATGGTCTGAAGGATAGCAAAAGTGAACATTGCGGGTTGATGCCTGAGGACGTCTCGGCCAAGGTTCAGGAGGTCATCAGCAGACAGAAGGCAGGCCTGGAGGAGCACGGCTGCGAGCAGTGCGGCTTCAAGTCGAGGAGCAGCAGCTACATCGAGAAGCATCGTCTCCGTTGCAGTATCATTGCCGGAAATGCGTCGGAATTGCCATTACCTTTCAAGTGCTGTGTCTGCAGGGCAGCATTCAGCCTTCTGTGCCCATTGCTTGAGCATGGGTTCTGGCAGCATGGATTCTCCTACTTTTGTGCCGACTGTTACTTTGGGGCAGATGACGAAGGCGCTCTCCGGAAGGGCGGACATCCTTGCAGAGGTCGTGACGCATTCCTCGTGGAGAATAAGCAGCAAGGCTCAAGGCTAACTGCTAGATCTGCACTGTACATTAGCCAACTTACGGTTGTCAAGGACTGGGAAGTCTACTACAAGAGCAGAGACTTTGAGTATGAGGGCTTGGATCGTCTGTTTGTGCAGCTCTATGAGCAGAAAGTCATGGTGGTGGACCTTCTGGGAGTGGTAAACTTTGAGGGATATGTGAGGCTTTGCGACGTCGAGGTGTGATCTACTTGCCGGCATCTTCGAGCTGGGTTGGCATCCCTCACCTTTTTAGCACTCCACTTTCCTCACTTCAGCAGGTTCTATTGCCGAGTGCTCTCTTTTGAGTTTGTTGTGTGACCCTAGCTGAGAGAGCTAGTGACTGTGCGGTTGCCAACTGGCACATCTTCGAAAAGCTCTCCTTTTTGCTCGTAACTGATGTATGTTTCTTGTCGGCCTCTCTTTTTTTGTTAAGTCAGAAAGTCTGAAATCTGTTTCTTTAGCATCGCCTTGGTCTATTGCGGTTGTGCCCAAGTGGCAGAACTGTTTAGGCCCAACTGAGGAGTGTCGCTCTGTGCCTTGGTGAACACACCAGCCTTTGCTGGTCTGTGTTAATAGGCTCACAGAATTCAAAAGATTGGTAAGCTGATCTTGGTTCAAAGTGATTCGATGCACAATTACAGCAGCCTTGATTTCTTGAACTGTGCCCTAATTCGGGACCTAGAGGAGGATCCCGTGCTCTCAAAAGGTTTTTTAGTGAAGTGGGGGAGCTTTTATGTAATGTCCGAAAGGTCTCGTAAAACTTATCTGCTTATTTCAACCACTTGAATCAGGGTACCTTTTTGTACTTATCCCAAATGAAAGCATTCACAAGCTTCAAACTTGCTTTCTTGTGGCCCTGTTACGTTGAGAACACGTGGCGTCAGCATTAACTATGTTGCCTCTGTGTGATGGCTCTCGGCAACCGGCACGGGCAACAAATTGTGTCGGACAATACGTGTAGCCTGGTTCGGTGGCCGAGCGAATTTTGTGTCGCCAGCATAGCTTTCATGTTGCGAGCCCACTCAGAAACATGCTTTTACTGACATGATACTGGGGAGTGCTATTTAGTGATAATTGCCGACTGATATGCAACCAAGTCAATTTGATGACTGCTTTTGTTGCATAATTATGGGAAGCAACTGCGTGAAACTGCCATGTTGCTCATCCTGCTGAATTTCACCAAAATGTGGAGTTTGCGTCACTTGTGTGCCAAAAGGCGATTTGTTTTTCTTTAAATGCTGCAAACCGTGCCTCTCAACACTGCCAGGTTACTACAGAGGACTTGTGTGAATTTAGAATTCTTATTATCAGGTTGAATAATGTGCTATTAAATTTTGCCTTTGTGTCGAACAGTGACAGTGCCATGACGTTTTGCCATATTTCTTGTTGTTGGAGGCTCGTTTGAGTGGGTTAGTTTCTTTTCAATTGGTGCTTCTTGTCAGTCACTTTTGCACCGCAGAAAACAGTGTGGTCACTGTCGTTCTGAAAGTCTCGCTTTGCTGCATTTTTTTGGGAGAAAGCACTCCAGTACCTAGAAAATATTTAACTGAATGTTGATGTGACAAACTGTTACGTGTTCATTTTAATTCTTATGTCCGATCCAAGTTCTAAGCAAGGCTATTGTATCGCGCAGGAGGATGTATGAATCCCCTTGGCTAGATATACTTGAACATTATTATTATTATTATTCAAAATACCTGGCGGGTCCATTTCTGGACATTAGACAAGGGGTGGATTTAGTCAAAGTAAAAGCACACACGTGAAACTAAGGATCTCACATTCTCTCAGCCATAAACAATTTTGGCAGGAACGCAACGAAAGGTCTACATTTTTATACTCTTTTGGAAAGAGCGCCACCTGCAACGCAAACTCGTGTATTGTACAAAAATGTTAAACACTATTCAGGTATGAATAGTTTAACATCGCTTAATCTCCCCAAGGGGAGATTAATCGATGGAGCCAGACCTGCCTGCACAGAACTTGTTGCAACATAAAAGAAGTCCTCTCCACCCTCACAAGTTTTCTACTGTCTATGACTAGCGGTCTCATCCTCCCCACTCGCATCCAGCGTTCGCTCTGCTGAAGTAGAAAGAGTGAGGAGCTTTGTCGGAAGGACTTATCCTGCTATTTTTGCAAGTGACCTCCCAGCCGCCTTTTTTCCTAAATTTTTCCCCTATAGATGGGGTTGTGTAGTGGGTTCATATAAATTCTGGGACAACTTGCACCAGAACGGTGGTTTTTCAGTTTATCGCAAAATCTCAACAGTATATTTTTTAGAACAAATGTAACGAGATACCTAAGTCGCAAAGGCGATACAATCGAAACATCGCAAATATAAATTTCACTTCTGAGATTAATACAGTTTTTAAAATGTTCTCAATAGATGCTGTTGCGATACTGCCCAGCCCTGCTAGCTTCATCTGTGAATTACTTGTGTTTCATGTGGTTCATGCAAGAATTACTTGTTTTTCATGTGGTTCATGCAAGAATTACTTGTTTTTCATGTGAGAGTTACCTGTGGTTTATGTGTCAATGACTTGTGTTTCATGTATATACTACTTTTGTGTGTGAATTACTTTTGTTTTATGTGTGAATTACTTGTGTTTCGTGTATGAATTACTTGTGTTTCATATGAGTTACCTGTGGTTCATGTGTGAATTGTTTCATGTATAAATTGCCTTTGTTTATGTTTGAATTACATGTTTCATGTATGAGTTACCCGTTTTATCTGTGAATTGCCTCTATTTTTTTTTTCATTTTTTTTTTTTTTCAGACTGCTGCAGTGGAGATATTTAACAAAAAGGATGGTGCTGTCACAACTATCTTGTTGCAATAGCACTTTTAGCGCTACTGAACAGTTGAGTGAATAGAAATCAAGCTGAAAAAAATGTTAGTAAGTTTTGTTCAATGAAATAAGTGTTAAAGGTACCCACAATGCTATTTCTTGGTCTTACACATTTTATTTCATTTCTTTTTGCCTTAATGGCATGATTAGTGCATTACATAAAGAGATAGGGGCTGCATAACACAAAAACAACAAACACATACAATATAATAATATACAGACAAAAATAAAACACCAGAAGTTATAAATAATGAAAACCCAAAGGACACAGAAAATCACGAATTGGCAAGGATTTAAGAAAGACTGGCTTCATTGATGGAGACAATAGATGATGGCAACTGGTTCCATGCAGTAATGGCAAGAAGGAAGTATTGGCTTTACCAAAAATTCCCTTGATGGTATATTAAAGGGCAACTCCGCTTCATTTTTAATATTTAGAAAACTATGCAGCCCTCTTCAGTATCATATAGGAAGACCCCACGTCAAATATTACAATCTAATTCCGTCTATATATTTAATAAATTGGCCAGCAAACTTTCAAATGAGCCAAGTCGCCGAAATCTGCCAACTGTAGCGTGCGACGTGAGGCGCAATCGTCAGCGCAGTCAATGCGACGGAGTTGGAGTGGCCAATGTTGAACTACTACGTCAGAGGCATGACTACATCATTCTCAGGTTTTGTTTGTTTTTACTTGGAGAGAAATTGAATGATGACGTCATGAGTTTCTCTTCTCTGTTGGCTCGACGGCGTCCACGTGATGACTGTAACGCGGATGCGTAAGTTTGCGCTGCCCTGCGCGCTTATCGGTCTGTTTCTCCACCCCCCTCTCCTCTTTCGTTTTCTTCCCTTCCCCCTCTCCCCCGGGCCATCACCGTCCACGCCATGCGAAGCGACCTGCCCGCACACCCGTGTTGCGTGTCCTGTACCTCGTCCACACGAACGTCACAAGACCACGTGGTTCGACGTGACGTAGCCATGATTCTGACGACTCGAGACCAATGTTGCCTGACGAAACCGAATTTTCGGCTTCGGTATCACTTGATATTTAAATTAAGGTTACACAAATAATATTTCACGTTTTGTGAATCTGAAGACGTAGAGCTGTTTAGTTGTGCTTCGTGAAATGGAATCGCATGTAAGCCTAAATTTTTCAGAATTGAGCGGAATTGAGCGGAGTTGCTCTTTAAGGTGAGATGATATCCTTTCTGGGGCTGAGAGCAAGATGTCCTTGATGTCTGAGCAATGGTAATAAATTTTGTGAAGGAAGCATGGCTTCCTTCACAAAGCAAGCATGGTTCTTAAATGGGGGTCTGCGGACCCTTCGGGGTTCTTAAAGGCCCTCGGGATCCCTGAAGCCCTTGGCCATCAGTCAAAGCTTTTTTTTATTATCGAATTGATGCTGGTTCTTTCACTAAACAAACCAAACCGTGTGTGCCGAGTGAGCAGGGTTGATTATTCATTTTAGAGCTTCAAAGTTGGTTTGCACTCATTTAACTTCTCTCATTTACCCTTCTGTAGTTGTAATTGTCCAATAACCCCCTCAGTGGGTGAAGTCCCCCATTACTTCTGCCAATCCTAAGGGGTCCCAAAACATCAGTGGTTGAGAACAGCTGGCCTAGAGACTCTCGGTAGTGCAAAGGGGTTAGCCCAAATTTAAAGTAGAATCACTGGTGAATAGGTCATATAATGATAAGATGAAAGGAGTAACTCAGTTTTGTACTGATTCAAATTTTTAAGTTAAGCCCAATGAGGACTCCAGATTGTTGCAGCAGCCTAGTTCTGGCTGCACCTCTGGCACAGACAACTGGAATTCAGAATACCTGAGGTATTTCACGCAGCTGAAGATTTAGCCAGATGAATTTCAATCGTCTTGACGATGACTGAAATCCTTGCCTTCGTGGCTATTGCCACGAAGGCAAAAATCCTTGAACATCGGCTCAAGATCGTGGCTCTCCACTCGAAGGCATCGTGGACCGTCTTTCATGACAACGAGCGCTTCGTACGAAACCTTTCTTCAAGGGGACTCTTGTCGACAGAGACTTCCGTCCTGGCGAATGGACATGGTTTCAACACCACTACAACCAAACCCCCAATCCCCATGATGGTGTGCCCACCATTGAGGATGCCATTTGTGAACTGAGCCCTTCTCTCCTGGAAGAAGTCCGTCTAAAAACAATTGGTATCATCGCGCGAGGTCATCGGCGAGAAGAGAACATCTGATCCATTGAGCACCATGCCCTGCAAACTCTGAAAGAGGACAACAACATTGTGGTTCTTCCGGCAAACATGGGCAATGCCACAGTTGTTCTTGACAAATGTGAGTGCAAAGAGAAAGTGATGGTGATCAGGGTATAAAGCGCCGAAAAAACATGGACCGAGACAAGAAAACAATGACACAGGGCGCACTGATGGTGCTTCTTTCCATTCCTGCGTATACGTCCGCGCTAAAGGACCTGACTGCAAAGATCCAGGAGACCGTCAACAGGACACTCTCTATTATTAAGAAACACCCGTACACTCGTCTCTACCACAGGCATGCCAAAATGGGTCTGCACCGGCCCTCTACGGCCTAAACAAGATCCACAAGTCCGGTCTGCCTCTCCGCCCCATTGTTGACTTCACCACGTTTCCGCTTTGTGCAGTGTTGACATACCTACACCAGCTGATGTCCCCACTCACCGGCAACAGACCCACCCATGTAATGAACTCATTTCATTGACCTGGTCAAAAGGCTTGAAGTACACGCTGACGAGGCTCTCGTCTCGTTCGACGATGTGTCGCTTTTTACCAGCATTCCGGTGCCGCTTGTATTGTCCATGCCTAGGACTGCGCTCATGGACAACACGAGTCTAGTAGACTGAACCTGCATGTCCGTCAGCGAGAACTGCCGTCTATTGGAGCTGTGCTTCACAAGCACCTACTTCTTGTTCGATGGGCTCCTCCTCAAGCAGACAAGCGGCACAGCTATGGGATCAGCTATCTTGGTTACCATGGCCAACCTCACCATGGAACATATTGAGCAGCAAGCCCTTGCTCCGTTCGTGCCGAAGTTGAAGATCTTTCTGCATTATGTGGATGACCGCTTTTGCGTCAATAAGACGACTGAAATCCACCATATCTTTTCTAGCACTTAATGCTGGTCGAACCTGCCATTCAGTTCACGGTGGAACGCGAGAAAGACGGTGGGCTTCCGTTCTTGGACATCGGTGTGAAGACGACTTCAGGCAAGCTGACCTTCTCGGTGTACAGGAAGCCTACGCATACTGGAAGGTACTTGAACTTTGACTCTTACCATCCCACAACCCACAAGATGTCGGTGGTCACTGCACTGTTCAGACGTGCCATGTCTGTGTGCTCGACGGAGGAGTCTCTCCGAGGTCAGCAAGACCAATGCCAACCTTTGAAACAACGCGCTACACCAAAAGATACATTAACCGAGTCTACAAAAAGCTGCGCCTTCCCAGTCTCTCCACGGTCCTGGTTCCTTCGAGCCATCTGTGCCTGCCATGCGTGAGGAACGTTAACGAGACCATCAGACGCGTGCTTCGAAAACATGGGATAGCGGCCACTTCCCCGGTTTGTCCTCCCCCCAAGGACAGACCGGGAAAGGAGAAGTCCCAAGGCCTCATCTATTGCAACCCGTGCACGAACTGCCGGCCCTGCTGCTTACGTGGGGGAAATGAAAAACTTCTCAGAACGTTTCCGCCACCACAAATATGGCATGAAGAAAAACAATATGTCCAAGCCAGTGCCCTCGCTGAACATGCAGCCAAAGTGGGTCACAGCATGTCCTTTGACAAAAGCGAGGTCCTGGGCACGCAATGACACTGGTGTAAATGTCTGCACCTAGAATCCTAGCTTGTACATCCAGATAACAAAAGATAATATCAACAGGTCGTCGGGCACTCCCCCAAGCGTCTATGTGCCAGTGCTTTGTCACTTCGTGGAAAAACCCAGACGCAGCAATCGCAACCAGCCTACAGAGGCGGCTCCCTCCTCCGTCCAACCCATAATCACCCGTGACCAAGGGATTGTTCCTTGGTTCGGAAACGTCTGGTTGCGAAACGTCTGGGAATATTTTTTTTCATTAAACTTCGGCTATAGTTTCAAATTTCAGTCAGTCAGTTGAGGAGAATTTGTTTAGGTTTGGCGCGGGAGAGTGAGAAAGCGTGAGAAAAGGGCAAGCATCAAGAGGCTATGGCTTGTGGGAGCTACGGGGCTGACGTCATGCCCCCTCCATGTCTTCTAACCTCCTTGCCTGTTGAGGTTAATTCCTGTCAATGTGCAAATGCTCTTTGGGTGGTTACATGCTTGCTGCTCGGTACTGAACAAAGCTAATTTCACAAACGAAATGTGGGGCTTTCCAAGGGCTGCTTGCCAAGCCCAGCTAGCTTTCTTCAGCGTCGTGGTGACAGGATTAGTAAGCGTGATCTGTGAAAACCTTCAGCTTGTTTTCAGTTCAATATGTCCGCATCTGCACTTTAGTAGGATACAAGTCAAGAATGTGCCAAATAAATACCAGATGACAGTCACAACATTAAATCGCTCCATGAACCAACCTTGACAAGCTATGCGAAGTGTGAAAGCCAAAGAAAAAGACATTGGTGCGGCCCAGGACGGACAAGGGGGTGCACTCAATTGCTGGGCCTTCTTGGATAAAGGTGTGTTTTTTTTTTTTTTTTTGGCTTGTCTTGCCCTTCTTATGGGTGAGAGGTATGCCCCGATCCTCGTAGATGTCAGAGTGGCGTGCGCCTCAGTAGCCTAGGTGTATTAGTACATTGTGGAGGAACACTGGGCATTGGTATGATAAGGCTGTGGGAGAGTTTGTGGCGCATTCTTAACTTGTATCC